AGTGCATGCAGGGGGCTGAGGAGATAGCTCGGCAGTCTAAGTACCTGACTGCCAAGCACAAGGACCTGTGTTCAGTCCCTGGCATGACCTGCCATGTGGGCCCCAGAACCCTGGGTGTGCCGTGCCAGTCACCAAAACTGGGCATGGTGGTGCATGCCTCTAATCCCAGTGCTGGGGAAGCTGAGACAAGAGTATCACTATGAGTCCAAGCTGTGTAGCGAGTCCCTGTACCAAACAAACAAACAAACACTGTGTGTAGAAACTTGTGTTTCATAACACAAGTTATGAAAATAATATTGTTCATCAGTTAAAATAGTCTTGACAGTTATAACGAAATAGTTTTACCTAGGAAGTGACTCATGTTAAGCCTCTTTTTCTATATATCCTTAAAAATTTGGTTAACAATTTATCATGGCTGCTTGGATGTGAAATTTCTGGATGACAAGGCTTTGTCAACCCAATGGACTAGACCATATCAAATGCCCTCCTAAGTTGATTTACCTAAAGAGCAAACATTCCCATTTCCTGAGGCTTTTACATGTATTTGGTATTACCAGGTATCTTTACATTTTAATATTTATTTTATATTCTTTAATCATTTTAAAAGAAATTATCTATTTTTAAAACATTTATTTCTAAATAACATAAAGGGTATGTTGTTATTCTAAATGTTTTTGCTACATTTTCTATTTGGTATTCACTGAGGTATAGAAATACTACTGCTTTTTATACATTAGTTTTTGTATCCTGAAATCTAGTAAAGATTTTTTTTGGATTCATTATTCTTGTTTTATTAATTTTATTGAGAAACAAATAACAATGAGATAGTTTCAAAACTGATTAAGAGGACAGTCTCAATAATTAATACATTGCATATTGTTGTCCTCTTAGTGGTCATTCATAGTATAAGATACAGACAGGATATCCTGTCCAAACATTATTAGTACAAATCCTTCTTCCCATTGAATTAAGAGAAAGTAGCTGTATATCTATCTTAACTATTTTGTATATGCAGATACAAAACGGCCCTTCATTTGTATTCCTTTTTTTGTTTGTTGGATTATTTTGCTGAATTCATGCACCTGCATTATTTAAATGGCAATGGAATACCCATCTCTGACAAAATTAAAGAAAAAAAGGCATACAAATAGATCCACTATTCTTACTAAAGTAAATCTGGTAAATCTTCTAAACATATGTTAAATTGTATTGTTTTACAAGGCACTTAATGATTTCATTTTTATTTTTTTACCTTTGTATGCTACATGATAGAAAATTCCTTAAGACCATATTTCTGATTCTGTATATAGTTGGATCTAATCTATTATTTTATATTACATGCATATATTATACTCATTCTTTGGCTAAATTAGGTTATTGTTTTATTTGAATATATCATTCTGTTTTGTAATGTTTTTCTTATTCCCTACCCATTTAGTCTTCTGTAATGTTTTTATGATGTACATTTTAACATATTTCTATTTTTTGCAATTTAGGTTACATAATAGAGTGACATTTTTCTAGGTTATGTTATTATTTTCAGACTATTATTTAGTTCTTAGTGCACGAGTATATGGACAATCGTGTTTATCAATTTCCTGCTATCATTGTTTTCCTCTCATGCACTGTGCTGCTTCATGGTGGGCCTTCTGCTGGTTGAAACCATGTTCCCCTCCAGCCCGATGAGAAAACCATTCACTTGATTTACTGCCAAATGCTAGCAAATAAAGAGAGAATAAGAGAGCCCTCGTTCCAGTGTGGCACATCCCATTGGGGATTGGATTTCCCACCGGGCACTAATTTTTCCTGACCCTGGTCCCTATAGAAGAGTTTCCTCACTGCCTCTCCAGATCTGCAGGAAAAATCTTCCAGTTCATTTTGCATAGTCACAAAGGATTTCCCTCTACCGAGTCCTAGGGAAAGCTTTAAACCCCAAACTTTAGCTTCAGTCTTAAAACTCAGTCTGGCCTCATAGCCACTACCCCTCAGCCCTCATTGCTCAATTTGGCTTGAGCTTATATTTTATTTAAATTCCCCTCTCAGGCAGGCCACCTTGAAATGGTCCTTCATTTCCTTAATCTAAATATTTTAAAATTTATCTGTTATGTTTATCCAGCATATCTGTGTGTTTGAAATAGCAGAAACAAGAAATGTGCTGTCCCCACCCACTTAGTACGGCATTTAGAATAACAGTCATTTAACATTCACAATAGAAAAAAATTAATAAGAAAGCCTTTGATAAAAGAGACATTTTTATCTATGAACACTGAAAAACTCTTACTGTATTGGGTTAATGGAATAAATGTTCAGACATGTACTCATTAATTGGCTCATCAGAAATAAATATTTACTCAAATATTATTTATATATTATTTTACATATAATTCATATTCTACTCTTAGTAATATTACTAATTTTGATAGCAAATTATATGCACATGATTACATATTTTTATTTAACCAAAGTGCTCTAATTTCTTTGAATTTCAATTATCAGTGAAATTTTGCTTCAGTAGCATATTAATTCATGTCTTTATGCATTTTTTATTTTCTATTTTTGTATTTTAGGGATCTACAGCGTGTTCAGGGTCTCACTATTAGATCAGAACTCATAGTGATCCACCTGTTTACAGCCTCCCAAGTGCTGGGATTACAGGATACTACCATGCCCAATCTCATTTGCTGTCTCAGCATGTCCCGGGGTCGGGGTTGGCACGGCAGTCCTGGGGATCAAACTTCTGGCCCCTGTGCCTGCTTACAGGCACTTTAATCCGCTGAGCTATTTGGCTGGCCCTTCATGTTGTTTATAATGATGTCAACACAAGTATGTAAAATCATGCTTTTATGATCAGAAAGAAATATTGTGCTCTTCTCTAAGCTGACAAGTATTCTTTCATTGATTGTATACATAGATTGCATACACAGCATGTAGAAATACTCAGATATTTATTTTCTTATCAGTAAGAGGTAGTAGGCATTTAATTGTAGACTGCATGGGCATTGTGATAGAATTCATTATAATATATTGTACAACAGTGTTAATCCATCTGTTATATGTATATAATTTATTATTTATGCAATTATGTAGATCTTTTAAAAACTTGCTTTTTACCAGTTTTTATTCTAGACAAAAAATTTTTAAGAGCTCATAGTTTTCTATTTAAAATGTCACAGGTTTGAATGATGCTCTTAATGACACCATCGACTTAATTTTTCAATCTGTTTTATGATTTCTTAATTGCTGTTTATTGTGGCATTTTAATTGTGTAGAGCTTCAAGTGTCTTCGTGGGAGGCATTTTCCTTATTAGGACTATAAGCACTCTCTGTGCAATACTGAGCCAGGCAGCGCGCTGGCGTTAGCCGCTCGGAGAGCTCTCCCTCCAGGTTCTCCTAATCATCACAGTTCTCTACGTGCAGCTTCCAGCTGTATTTCCCCAAGAGAAGAACATGAGGCCTGCCTCCTTGTGGGCACTTTCATGCTGCCTACTAGATGTCACTTTTCACTGCATGGTAAATACAAAAATGCTTCATCTTTTTCCTGCCCCACTTCCTGTATTTTCCAGACTCAGGTAGTTTCTCTTCTAATGTAAGCAAGGTTAGCTTGTCCTTTATTGGAGAGAGTAGAGGTTAAAAATATCTGTGGAATCCAATGCATGCATTGGATGTTTTGGTACATATTAGAGAAGAGATTTGTAGGCCTGCAGGAGTATCCAAGAAGACATTCAGGGTAGAGAGGGAAAGAGTCCTTAAGGAACTCACCACTCAACAAACCACTCTCTGGCCTTATTCTATGAGAGCAATTTTTCATTTCTGATAATATTGGAATGAAAAGTACCAAATCTAGAAAATTTGCTATATTCTAGTACATGACAAATCCTCACCATGTCTGCTGGGCTTCCTGCTCACTTGTGCAGACAGTAAATAGTTCAATATCCAATCTTGGTAGATCAACACAGGTACATAACTTGGCTCTGTACCTAAATTAGTACAAAACACATACCTACTTTTTAACTACCATAACATTTAGCTTGGTAATCCAGACATCTTATCCCAGTACATGCAGAGCTACAATAAAATGACATGTGACTTAATGTTTGAATGCATATACACATGCATATACATGTATGAGCTATAACCACACAGTATGTATCCCTGCCTACATAGTCCTAATAAATTAATAAAAGCAGGATTTCTTTTAGTAAAGATGATTGTAAAGAAAGGGGCAAAGTTCTTTTCATTTGTATTTCCATAGAGAAACTGTGTGCTAATTTTTTCAAAGAACTGTTCACTCCCTTGGGTAATACAGCCCTGTAGTACCCAGAACATTATCAAACTCATCACTATAAACTCAGCCGGGGTGACCATTTTCCACTTCTTCCTGCCTCTCTGCCTTCAGCATGTGCCTCAGCTGCAGCTGTAATGCGTCCCTCACTGTTAAAATGATGAGCTATTAGCCAAGCATGTGCAGCAAATACAATCGCAATTCTGAAAGTACTCTTGGGAGGAAATGGTGAGTCTTTAATCAATTCCATTAGGCCTTCTTAGGCTTTGGTAATTAAGCAGAAGAGTTGGAAATGGTGAGAATTGTAAGACCTACCTGAATTCTAACTTAAGAGGATTATTTAAAAATCAAGAAGGAAAGCCTTGAAAAAATTCCTTTAAGAATTAGATGCAAAGAAATAGAACATCTGAGTATAATGCTAAAGGGTTACTGTATATATTTAACATAACAGAGTATATTGGCAATGGGTAGAAAAGTCTTTTTGTTATAAAATGATACAGTCTGTCAGGATGATTTACCTTCTATCTGTAGCTTTTAGATGAATTGTCAGCCACTTATAAGTGACTTGACAAAGTGCCCCTTATAGTCATTTAAGGACTGTTACAGAATACTTAGAGCAGTTTTACATATAGAACAAGTCCAGCCAACAATGATGGAGAAGCCAAGGGAGAACACCTTCTGCTTTGAGCCTTGGACACTACCGGCATAAATGGTGTACCTTGCAGTCGCATGGCCCAACGCAAGGGTCCTCGTTGGTGCTCCCCGCGCCACTGCAGTTACAGGCTTGACAGGCCGGGTAGCCAGTATAGCCCCTGGCACACCGGTCACAGCTCACCCCTCCAAAGCCAGGTTTGCAATGACAGGATCCAGGGGCCAGACCTAGTGCAAAAGACACACATATCAGCAGTCTAAAAATAATCACAGTCTTACTTCTTAAGCTTTCAATTTCTAGTATCCTTTAAAAATGTATTTTGGCCCCTAAATCAGAGGGGTTTTTTTTGTATACATCAATAAAGTTAAAATCAAACAGCATGGACTTTAAATTTTTGTTTATGCTAATACAGAATTTTATATGCACCCTCAGAATATTAAGAACAAAGGGGAAGATGAAATCTCAGATCATCTACTAGCTACCTAGAACCCACAAGGCTCTAGGAAAGCTAGACAATAATAAGAGAATAACTGTCTTAAGCTCTACACAGAGAAGAATATGCAGGAACTTGTGTATGCCTTAGATCCCATAAAATGAGTCTCTTCCAACACAACATCCAAAGGTTGGAAAAAAACCCTGGAGATACATACATAGGACTTAGCCAGCGGTTCAACATTACAATCTAAGGGCAATGCCACTTTAGTATCGCTAGAGAAAAGAATAAATGTGTTCGCAGGGATGCATATTTCAGTTAGAAGTAATAGGAGAGGGGCATGAAAACAAGTTAAATTTCCTTTGTTAAACATTTACATAAAGAAGTGCAAATGAGAATCATTATCCCCATGAACATGTTTAGCCCCTTCATTAATAATACCATCAAAGAGGTTATCTGTTATTGCTGTCTCTAACTAGAAAAAAAGACACAGAATGAATGAATACCACCAACTGATCTTTAAAAATTGGGAAAGGGTAAGAGCAAATCAATAAAATACAATCCAGACAAGATTCGGAGTGTTCAGGGTGCTATTTGTTTAGTAAAATTCTGTATCATTTGTAATATTTTCTGTTTTAATACTATTTTGTACTGTCATTAAAAAATGAAAAAATAGAGGTAGGAAGATAGCTCAGTGGAATAAGTGCTTGTCTGGGAAGCGAAAGGCCCTGAGTTCTATCTCTGGTACCACCGAAAATAAATAAATAAAGGAATTAAAAATGTATAATCCAGGGGCCAGGGAGATGGCTCAGTGGAATAAGCACTTCCCTGGCAAGCACAAGGGCCTGAGTTCAATCCCCGGTTCTGC